TTTTTATACCTGGAAAGGGGCTTAAGCCAGTCTCTTCAGATCTTTATAACTAACGTTTAGACTTTTGTCTTCCTTGCATTAAAGCAAACAAATTATCAGTACGTTAGATGAACTGCTTTGAAGCCTGCTTGCTTTCCGGAAGCAGCCTGGCTCGCTGCCATCCAGTATTACCTTTTGGCGTGCTGCTTATCCTGTTCCTGGCTGATCTTCGGAGATCTAAGAGGCAGTCCCAAGCGTTTGAGAGTCATAGGCCTGGTTAAAAATCATGAGTCTTTCCTAGAATAACAATTCTGTGTGTTTTCTTTTTTTGGTTAGTGGGTTTACGTGGTTGGTTGTTATTACAGCCTCTTCAGGTAACATTTTCAAACTCTCCTTCACAATGGGAAGGAATAGGCATGAGTGAGAGGGCTGAGCACTGACATTGCTACTTAATCCTGGTATGCTAGAAGCGGCTCTTTTAAGAACACCATCTCATCAAAATGATAGAAGGTGGAGCCTGGAAGGAGCCTCATGAGGTCGCCCTCCCTGCTGCAAGGCAGGATCTAACTAAACCACTCCTGGCAAATGTTCTTAAGAACTTCTTGAGGATTAAACAGGAAACTGTTTCTAGTAGTTACTTCTCTCAAGAACTTTTGAGGCTTCCCTGATATTTTTAAGTTGATTGTTCCTTGTACTTCCACATACATGGAAGATAGTTGATTTTGTTGTTATTTTTTAACGGTCCTTTATTCCTTAGGACTGTTACTGTGCTGCCTTCCACCTTTTTCCTGGACACTGTCTTGCTCAGGAGGGATAGCTGCACTTCATTTAGAGCAGCTTCTGATTTGCCGTATTTTTAAAGCCAGACATAGCAGGGTAACTCCAGGTTTGGTTTATCTAGCTATATCAGCCGTTATGTTCAGCTGTACCCCTTTTTATATTTGTGCAGTGCTTTTTTGTTCATTTGTTTGTTTCTGAAGTGGAGGGCTTTGTTCATTAACTTGCTATAATTCTGAAAGCAATTAAATTAGCATTTCTCCAGTTTATCAAACTTGCTGTGAATTGATCATACCCGTTGAAATGCTTGGAACTTTTCCCTGACATCATTGGGAAATTAAATGCATTTTCTGTTTTCTCAATTAAGCCATCGACTAGCACTGTACTGCTGCTTTCCCTGAATGCCTTTGATCAAGACAGCTGGCCAGTTTTACAAATAATTGATCTTTGCCTCTTTACTGGCAGTTGCCTGTTCAGGCAGCAGGTAGTGATTTCATGTATTCTTTTACGCTTAGATGTACAATTTTTGCTTGCTCCTCTGTTCATGGGGTCTTGCTTCCCTTTGTTGTGTGATTAATTTTCAGGGAATAGAAGAGCCCTTGATACAGTAACATTGGCAAAATAGTGAAAGGTCTGTGATTAAAATCTCGAGAGCTAACAGAGCTGAGAGCAGCACATTGGCTCTTCCTTTCTGAACTTCGGCTCACTTACTCTTGGGTCTTAGCAAAAACTCTAGCCCAGGACCCGGTCTTCCTGGCAGGGTTTCCCAGGACTCTGGTGGGTAATATATGCAGGCGCATCAGTATAAATGTGAAGATGAATGAATAGTAAATCATGAATAAATGCTCGAAAGTAAACTGGAGGGAAGGTGAGGGGAGAGCAAAGAGCATAAAAAAGCAAACCACTGGAGAACTGGGACCACTGTTCTGCCATGTGGAAGCAACTGCTCTCCTTGTCTGCTGAAGGCAGAGCAAGAAATTAGTGGTCTAATTTGCCGCAGTGATGAAGAAGAGATTCCAGAGGTAGTGGAGGACACTTCTAACAATAAGGATACTTGAGCATCAGAATAAGCAATGTATTTACATCTATGTCATCGCCATCACTGGACACCTGGACAGCAGATACAACACACTTGTCACAGAGGGGCCATTACTTTTGTACCTTTGTTGGGTGTTACTGGAAGCTGGCATTTGCAATGCAGCATTAACTGTTTCTCTTCCTGCAGGAGTTGGTGTTGATGACATGTTCATCATGATCGCTTCCTGGGAGCAAAGTTCAAGAAAAAAAGAGAAATCCGATGTTAAATCTCGGTTGTCCGAGACTTACGCAGAAGCAGCACTTTCTGTGACCATCACCACTCTCACAGATGTTCTGGCCTTCTTCATTGGCACCTGGACTGCTTTTCCATCCGTGAGGTCATTTTGCCTCTATACAGGCACTGCTTTTGTCTTCTGCTATGTATATACCATGACCTTCTTTGGCGCAATTATTGTATTAAATCATAAAAGGGAGCAAGGAAACCGACACTGGCTAACTTGTATGCCTGTGGGAGTAGATAAAGATCAGGCTCAGAAGTCCTGCTTGTACAATGCTTGCTGTACAGGCAACTGTTCTGGGGAGTCAACTCAGCTAGAAGCCAAAGAGCCAGAAAGTGAACATCCAATGAGCATATTCTTTAGGAAGTATTACGGTCCTTTTTTTACAAATGTGTGGATCAAGCTACTTGTGGTGTTGCTGTATGGAGCATATTTGGGTGGCAGTATTTATGGATGTACTCAGATCAGGGAAGGCATCGATCTTCGAAATCTGGCGAGTGACGACTCTTACGTTATTCCATACTATGATGACGAGGACAAATACTTCTCAGCATATGGACCCAGGGTCATGGTTGTCATTACTCAAAGTGTAGATTACTGGAATGAGACCGTTCGTCTTGGCATTGAGAACTGCACACAGAATTTAGAGGGCATTTCCTACGTAGATAAGAACCTCTCGGAGTCATGGCTGAGTGTATACACAAAGCTTGCCGAAAGTGGTTTAGTAGATATAAGCAGTAAGACTCTCTTCATTAATAACTTGCCTACACTGTTTCACATTGCTCCCAGTTTTCAGTGGGACATTAACAAGACTCAGGATAACATAGAAGCTTCACGTTTCTTCATCCAGACGGTGAACGTGACCTCAGCTGTTGATGAGGAGAATCTTCTCAATCAGTTAAGAGAGGCAGCCAAGCAGTGCAGTATTCCGTTAATGGTGTACCACCCAGCGTTCATCTACTATGATCAGTACCTGGTAATAGTGCAGAACACCATTCAGAACATTGTTGTCGCTGCCGGGGCAATGCTCGTTGTCTCCCTTTTGCTTATTCCCAACCCGTTGTGTTGCTTGTGGGTGACTTTTGCTATAGCTTCTGTTATAGTCGGTGTTGCTGGTTTCATGACGTTTTGGAACGTCAATCTAGATTCCATATCCATGATCAACCTGGTCATTTGTATAGGGTTTTCAGTAGATTTTTCTGCTCATATTTCCTATGCCTTTGTTACGAGTGGAGAGTCATCAGCCAATAAAAGGGCAATCGAAGCTCTGTCCCTGCTAGGTTACCCAGTATTACAAGGTGCAGTTTCTACTATATTAGGAGTAGTTGTCCTGGCTGCAGCAAAAGCCTACATCTTTAGGACGTTTTTCAAGATCATGTTCCTTGTTATTTTGTTTGGGGCTCTTCACGGTCTTGTTTTTATTCCGGTGTTTTTAACCTTTTTTGGAAACTTGGGCAGATCACCGCACGATACCAAATCTAAAAAGCTGGAGTTTAGGTTTAGAAATGATAACGATTGTCCGTGACTAAGTTAAATGTAATATACTATATATCTATTGTATGTAGACTAAAATGCAGCGACTTTCAGGGAGTATAAGGAATGCACAAAATGAAGGACAGAAAAATAAATACAACAGGGAAGCAAAGGCTTCAGAAAAGGCAGGCAAGAAAAATAACAGAA